GAAGTGTTACACATAATTTCTTTTTAAAGTGGTTTCTTAATAGGAAAGGAACCTCTCCCGGTGACCATTTCCAATATCTACCTCTGAAGCAGGGGCAGAAATAACTAATGGTTTTATGTACTTGTCAGTTTGAGACATTATAATAACTAAAGTCATTTTTTAATAGCTCTTGCACTTCAAATAGAAATGTGACTTTTTGATACTGAATAACATTGCTTTCTATCTCCCAAATTAAAAATGATAGATATTGTGGAATTTTTATATCAAATCCAATCTCCTGCTTTACCTGCTCATCTGCCTAAGAACATTCTTTGAAGTACTCAGAGTACATCAAACTGTATGAAATTTGCTCAGGAGGCCTAATAATGTAATTACAGGATGGGGGGTGGGATTTAAATCTCCTGTGGCAACCTCAATCAATTTCACATGGAAGTGAAGTTTGGTTCTACTGCTATTTCATTTCCAAGTTTATCTTTTTTTTTTTTTTAGATTTATTTATTTATTCGTACAGAACTGGGGTACAAGCCAGAGATGCGGAAGGTGAGAGGATTCACCAGAGACAGAGTGGCGTGCAGAACAGGCAGATCAATGAAGTACACTGCTGAGGGGAGCAGCAGGGGGGTCAGGAGAGGTCTGCTTCGCTGTGGTCACCTCCGGGGCAGGAGGGGATCAAACTCATGCACAAGTGGCTTAAGCTTCTTTGTGCTGTGCTTCAATCTGCTGCACCACTAGGGAGATCATTTTGCTCCAAAGAAACTAAGCAAAATTGAAATGCTATATATGGCATAATTACTTTCTTCTGTTTACCAACTTAGGTGTAAGCGGAAACATAAAAAGGAGCCCAGCTAGTTAGAGACTGGTCATACATAATTGGTGGCACGTCAAGACCACTGGATGTGGTGACTCTTCCCTAAAAGATGATAGACAGGAGAAGGAGAATTAAGACCATGCTATGTGTACATATACGTTTTCTTCCTAGTTGATATTAAGTGGTGTATATATTTTAATGAATTTCACTAAAGCTTGATCAAATAATTCAGTATCTTTTATGGGTCCTCCCGGTGGTGCAACGGGTTGAAGAGCAGCACTACTAAGCTAGCACAGCCAGTGCACTGCCTGGCCAGGGAGGTGACCCACATGGCGCAGCACTGCACTCCTGCTCCCCTCAGTGTTTCTTCAGTCTGCCTGTTCTGCTCTCCACTGTGTCTCTGGTGAATCCTCTCACTGCCCCTGTATCTCTGACCTGTACCTCAGTTCTGTATGCATAAATAAACACATCTTAAAAAAAAAAAGCTTTTATGTGAACTAAAAGTAATTTTTATAGTTATTAACAAAGTTAGCTATATTTTTAAATAATTATGAAAAATACATATGCAAGAAAGTTTTAGTTCTTATTTTCTTTGAGATATTTTATTGAATAATTTTATTATAAAGTTAACATGTGCCTTGAATTTTCAAATGAGTAAAATTAACAAATTATCTAATTTTAGAGATAATCTGATAATTTTCTATTTGAAGGACTTCGCCAGATCATTTTATCTTGATTTTTCCTCATCATTCTACATCATTATCAGTATTGAAAGGCAAAGATGGAAAGTGAATAGTTAGGTGGAATGAACCATCTTGACCTGATTTTTTACAATCTTATCCTGAACTGGACAAACTGCATTATCAAGAGATTTTAGGGAACAGCTTTTTAAATTGCAATTCCACAACTGAGCATTTAGTTCAAAAGTAATTATATGTCTTTAAGAACATTATTCCCTTCAATGATGTGCCAGAGAAACCTGAGCATTTCTAATTAGGCTGAAATAAGTTTAAGATCCTGTATGACTTTTCTGAAGAAAAGAAAAAAATATATTCAAAAAATTGAAAGCTTATTCCTTCGTCTTTGCCCTTTCAGTACTGCTTCAGTAACTCCAGTCACTTTGCTTCCAGTTCACTACTTTTTCTTTGAACTTGAAGTATATCATTGGACACCACCAATTCAAGGTTATTGGTTTGCACAAAGATATAGAAACAACTCAACACAACAAATAACATGTCAGGCAAACCCTGTTTGATTCTCAGTCACAAAGAATTGTCCTATAGGTCTCTCTTTACTTAAAAGATATTTTAAGGAAACTCATACTTCCCTAAGGTTCTCAGAGGAACAACTAAGAAAAGTAAAAATGTCTGCTTCCTTAACAAATTTAGAATCCGGAAAGCTCCTCATGCATTAAATTAAATTCTGGTTTCTTATAGCCTTGAGTGAGTCTTTAGACGAGGGTCATGCAGATCCTGAAAACCAGGTTCTTAATAAAGAGTGAAAGTTGCTTCTGTAAGGTGGAAAGTGAAACATCTGTCAGTGAAGGTTCCTTTCATAGCCTTATCTTCATTGAAAGAGAATTATTTATGACAGCCTTGACGATAGCCATTTTTAATATCTTTGACGATGCACCAAGATTAAAATGTGTGATATTATTATGTATGATGGTTGACCCATTCCTGGCACACCACTCTTAAAAACCTTGAAATTTCTTGTGATGGGTGTTCTAAGGTAATGTTAAGAAAAGAAGTCGGTTTTCAGGGGGACCAACCACATGATTAGAAGTTTAAAGCTTCTTAGTATATCCCTCTTCAACCTCCAAATAGGGAAGAAGGGATAGAAGTTGATCCAATATTCAATGAGCACAGATTTAATCAATTATAATACATAATGAAGAGACCATAAAACACACACACATACACAGGGTTCAGAAAGCTTTCAGGGATCTGGGGAAATTGGCACACTAGCACAGAGCATGTAGGCTACAGGCTACTTCTCCATAATTGACCAAAGTATCACTCCCATCTGGATGTTCATCTGTGCACTATATGAACATGGGGGAATTTGATATAATATGAAGCATTTCATGTGAAAATGTCAAATGAACATTTATTAAGAAAATACATACATATAAACTTGTAATTATGTTTAACATACATGTCATTTTTTCTGTATAATTATCTTAATATTTAAGCATGTTTTTGCAAAAATAGAAGCTAAATAATAATGGTGGACATATAAACTTTGAGTTTGAGCACTCCTAAGCCATCTAAGATGGCTCTTTCTTTTAACATCAGTGCCAGAAGCTGCTTTTCAAAATAGCGAATTAGCATTTTAATTAAGAGTTGAGGCATTTATCATAAAATATTTAAAACATAAGGTTACAAGTAAAAATTAAACATCCTACATTTCCTAAATTTACTGTATGTTTTAGCATACAGAGACACAAATGATTACTCTGAATTCGATCAATGCATACACACACACACACAGATTATGTGTGTGTGTGTGTATATTTTGTTCTTGTTCTGGTTAGTCTTTCACTGCCGGTTCTTGCTGATATTAGCTACCCTAGATCATTTTAATTGTGGATTTGTAAAAAGTCTTGGAATTTGAGTAACTGAGCTTATGAATATTACATTAAACTTGTAATAAAAAGGTTTTGTGAGAAGACCTAAGGGTCTTTCTAGAAAGCTGAGTAAAAAAGTTTGATCTCCTTTATAGGAGATTTTGTGACATCTATTTTGTCATTTTGGAAAACTTAATTTTCCCTGCTCCAAGATCAAGATAAGTAAGATTGCTAACTAAGTGAACTAAGTGAATTACAGACACTGGAGTAAGTTCTGCTATCTATAATGTCAAAATAGAATGTGTAAGTTTCAATCCCTATTGCTTTCCCTAAAGCACATTTGCTGAAGTAGTATTGTATGTTACTAATCAAACTATTTCAGTATCATTAAACTGCAAAGTAATAGTAATTTTATTCTAATTATAACAATAATTTTATAACTTTATATTTATTTGCATGGGAATTAACACAATATTAAAAGGATTTAATATATCTAATTCAGTATCATTATCTTACTGCTTCTTACATTGGAATGAAAATTAGCATAAACTATATTATTTTTACTTTAATTAACAAACCTTCTCCTATCTATGGTTATATTGCTTATTTCATTGCTGGTTAGACACAAAAGAGTGAATGAATCCACAAAAGACCCTTTTCCCTAGTTTACAAACTTTTATTATATTACAAGTAAAATATATCTTCAATGCTAAAGTAAAAATACATTAGAATGTTGACTTCTGCATTGTAGGAATAGCTACTCATTGAGGTTGAAGTGAAAATGAAAATCAAAAAGTGAAATAATCTCAGTGTTGGTTAGCTTATATCTTATCATGTAAACATTTGTGAATTTAAGGAATTCCAATGTAGATTATTTAACTGAATCCACTGAATCATATAAATTTAGTTTGTACTTTCAAATTTTATTTTATTAATTTATTGTATTTCTTGAATTTATATATAGAATTTTTTGAGAAACTAAGCTAATTTATTTAGACTATAATATGGTTGAAGAGGGCAGATCATCATTTTTTTCTCTAATATCCATTCCACAGATACATTTTCAAAAACAAGTTGAAGAAGACAAGTAAACATAGGTTACATACTAAATTTAACTTAGCAATCTGTTATTTTTGAAAGAAAAAATTAAAGAGTAAAATGGAAAAAAATATTATATTAGCTTTATTTTCAGAATCATTCCAGTAAAATGCAGAGCTTAATTATTTAAAATTATTCATAATTGTTATGATGGGGTTATAATACACATATGTATCCTTTTATAATTGCTAAGGGTGATAGAATGAAATTATAAAATCTACTATTAGAACTATGTCCTTCCTAGCAATCTATTGAACTGATAATTTGCCATAAGACTCTTATGTAATTCTAACAAACTGAACATTTGTCTCTATTTTGGTCATTAAAGTGTCTGCCATGGAAAGAAAATGAAAGAGCAGAATTAAAACTCCCTTTGTTTTTCTGCCATATTTTGTTTGAGAAAAATGAATGTGACAAGATTGTTTTCACAATCTTGTTTTCACATCCTAATTTGTGCTCTGCCTTGATCAAGCTACATGTTGCATTAGTAGTAAATCATGACTATTTGATTTTATGTTTTATCAGGAGCTACAACCATAGAGAAATATGATCTCAGAACAAATCTGTGGATCCAGGCTGGGATGATGAATGGCAGGAGATTGCAGTTTGGTGTGGCTGTTATTGATGACAAGCTCTTTGTAATTGGAGGTAGAGATGGCCTGAAGACATTGAATACTGTTGAATGTTACAATCCTAAAACCAAGACTTGGACTGTGTTAC